TATATATAATTTTTTATAAATATTTAACTTTTATACATATAACAACTTCATTTTTTAATAAATCATATTTTTTGCAAGTTTATTGAGAGAAATTTGCCGGTGTAAGACCTTTTATGGCAGGGGAAGTATAGGAGATGGACCGCGATTTCTCCCCTTCCGCTTTATTCTCAACAGCATCTCGCAGGCCCACGAATTTGCGTTATATACCCGGAAGTGGCGATATACGATTATAGGGAGGACGAGGGAGGTGGTAGTATCGTATATTACTTGCCGAGCCAAGCTTATATAGCGAGGATATAAATTTCCCAAGCGAGTCGGGGGGGTGGTGGTTGATTAACTGCTGCGCGTGGCGCAGAGAGGATGCGGAGGACTCACTGCATCCGCTGCTACGATGTGGCCGAAATCCGCGAAACGGCAACTGGAATCGGCAAGCCAAGCGACGACTAAAGCAAAATAAAGCTCTGACGACGGAAGAACGGAGACAACGGGGGCCCGCCCCGGCCGTTGCCCGGCGTAATGCGGCCGAAATGGTGTCACGATAAGCTTTGCCAGAAGGCAAAATGCGGTAGGCTTGTAAGCTGCAAATACTACAGAGCAGCCGACTCTGTGACGCGACTCTCGTGCCGGCTCGAGATCTATTTATTGATCGATCTATATTGGATTTGAGCCTCGATTTCCGGTAGCGAATGCCCGTCTCCGCCCAGCAGAGGCGAAATCGCAAATTGAATTAATCCTAAGCCGATAATAAAGTCATGGAGAGAAAGAAAAGTTCTATATCGCATAATTCAAATGTCCTTCTCGATTATAGATTTTTCAATAATCGAGACTTTAAATGTTATTAGATAAATGATTAGAAAACGTTGTTATGATAAAACTTTAGAATAAGAATGGAGAATTTTTGCATCATAATCTTCGTTTTACTTTTTCTGCATCTGATTATAACTGCATTATTCATAATTAGATATATGTCTTAATATAAAATATTTTTCTTGTTTGTAAATCTATAATGACATTTATGCAAATAATAGATTTTTTTAAATCTAAGCGCTTTGTGATCTGCAACTTTTGCATCTCGATTTTGCTACATTGACTTATATATGATCATTTATTAAAACAAAAAGAAATGACTGAATAAAATTCAAATAATCTTAAAGAGACATTTGAGACAGATGTTTATATTTACGTGCCTGGAACGATGTACTAAGTATGTTGATTATGCAGAATCTATTTGCTGATAGGTATATTTAGACACATGGGCGTCGCGATATCAATTATTTGGATGCAGCGTTTTATCTTGCCATTTGAGAGAATCTGTTTTAATTGTATTATATATTCATGCTAACCATGAATAATTGCTTTTTAAAAATAACAAACTTATTTTTATTATTTATATATATAATAAATGTATGTTAAAGCTCATAAGATATATTAATAAGATCTGTGAAAAATTTTTTTATAGATAATCTTTTATATATGAATTTTCTTTTTTTTTTTGTTGGGATATATTCAGCATATACAATGCTGATTAAATTTAAATGTGAAATTTTTCAAGCTAATTAAAATAATGAATTCTCTCATGTTTTCAGATATATTCATGGACTAAGAAATAATTGGATCAGCTGTAAAGTATCTAAGCAAGAGAAATTACAATTGAATGGAAAGGACAAAGTAATAAAATCAATTAGCTGTGCCCTGTTGTTGACAAAAGATATCGAATAAATGACTAGTTATTTTGTTTTTACTACCGTTATTGTTGTATGGATCTTAAAGTATGGTTCTTAATGTAATATAAGATGAAAGCTATTTAAATTTATTAATTCAGATTAATACAATCCAAGAATCATTTCAAATCGTATATAAAAATAATATAAAAATATTTCTTTCAATTGTTCTAGCCTGATCTAACCATCTTTTTTAGATCTAGATTTTTTTTCAGTTTTTTCTTTATTTTCGTTCTTAGAATCTTCGGTTTGTGTAATACCGTTTGTTGCACCGGTTGTTGCACCAGTTGTTGCACCTGTGCTATATGTTACATTAATATCATCGATAATATCATTCAGCAAACTAGATGCACCAATCCTGAAACGGCAATTTGTCAACCAATCTGACCCTAATTCTTCCTTGATCAAAACCATCCATTCGAGAGCTTCTTGTGCAGTTTTTATGCCTCCAGCAGGTTTAAAGCCAACCTATAAACAAAAGATGTATTATAGAGCTATGATTCCCAACAGAACCAAATTGCATTACCTTTGCAGAGGTCAGTCTCTCATATTCCTTTATCGCTCTACACATGACAATACCCACAGGCAAAGTTGCATTAATATCCTCTTTTCCTGTAGATGTCTTAATAAAATTAGCGCCAGCAAACATAGCTATCATGGACGCTTTGTACACATTTTTCAAGCTAAATAGTTCTCCTGTTGATAGTATAACTTTTAAACATATTTTTTTATCCTTCTCGTTACAAGCATTACGAATAGCAACCAGTTCATTATATAGTTCTATCCATTCATGATTCAAGACTAATGATCGGTCAATCGCAACATCTATTTCCTGTGCTCCATATTCTATGGCACAACGCACTTCCTGCAGCCGAGTCTCTAAAGGATATTGTCCAGAAGGAAATCCAGCAGCCACTGATATAAAAGCCACAATTAGACAATATTGGTCGTGTTCCAAAATTCACTGCCAATACTGGAAATCTATAATATACGTTACCTGAACTATAGATTTTCAGTACTGGCCGTGAATTTTGGAACACGGCCATTGTTACATTCACATTGGCTCAGAAAAAAAATGTTTTCTTACCGCTAGCGATCTTAATCGTACCCGACTTTTTTAGTTTCTTTAAATTGACCAGTACATCCTTTACTCTAGAGGGATAAACGCAAATACCCGCTGGGTGAAGCAGCTTACCCCATTCAAATGGAAGCTCCTCTACAATTGTTGCAGCCTGTAATATTAATCATTAATCAATTATTTATATTAAAAAATAATTTTACCTTTTTAATGTACCTTTTTACATAGATTCTCCACATTGTTGCTTGTATCATCACCGCTCAAAGAGGTCAAATCAATGAAACTTATCACTTTTAATAACCAAGCTATTCTATTGTCCCCTGTTAACGTGCTAGCTAAGTAACGTATCTGACGCACACTTTTGTTTATTGCTGGCTCATTAATGTACACTTCCAAGAATTTTAACCAAGCTAAAAGAATGTGCAAATTTAAAGTTTTATATATAAAAAAATATCCATTTGGTAATATATATGATGTAGCGTTAAAATTACATATTGCGTTACTTACGTTTAACTGAATCGGCCACTTCAGGGATTATCGGAGAATTGTCCATAATTTCAAAAGAAAAATTTAAATTAAATGTACAAACTACTGTAAGCTGCTGAATAATGTGATTTTATATTTGCCACCTCTGTTTATCCTATCTATGTCTGTTCATGCCTATTCAAAATAAACACAAAACCGTTAATACAAATTTGTAAACAAACGTGAAAAACATTAATCTGTTTTCTGCCAGAACTTATTTTTCGAACTAAGATAGTTATATATTACGTAATTATGAGATGATAAGAATTATAGAAATAAGATGAAGCTATACATTCGCAGTATAAAGTATACACAAGCTTGTCACATGTTATATTTATAGGGTTAGAGATAACACAATCGGGCTTCAAAACAGTGCATAAGATAATAGCATATAAGAGTTTTTTTATTTAATACTTAGTTATATGTATCGACTTCCAGGAAAAAAATTTAATTTGTATCTTTATTACAAGAAATAATATTTGAAAAAATAATCCAAAATATGTATATAAAAAAACTCATTTTTTCTCTTTTATTGTGTCACAATTGAATTCTAATCTGACCGATTGTCGATGTCTAAATATACAATATCACTATATGATAGAAAATTTTTGCAAACTAAAAAATCAATAATCTTCGAGATACGTATGCTACCAGTGCTACATAGGAGTGAGTAACTAACACATAAGCCAACTAAATAACATTTCATATTATTGAAAATTTACATATATACATAGATACAAACATACATATTTATTTTAGTCCTAAAATTAAGGTTTACTATTCATAAATAATCATATAATTTAATGTCAGATTTCGAAAACAAACTTTTCTTTCCAAAATACAATTTAAATAAAATAAAATATTGACCAAGCATGAAAATTACACTCTAAGCAAACTGCACATTTGACAAAGTGTAAATAATTTGGTTTGTGAAATTATCTTATCAAAATTCTATTGTCAAAATGTTACAAGTATAAATGAATTCATATAGAACTATATAAATCTACTTGCACTAGTTAAAATTATTATTATCTATGATATTCCCATTGTTCCCAATACTGTGAAGTTTGCATCTCAGCCAAACGTGATACGGTGCGCTCGAATGCAAAGAGTTCTTCTTCACCAGTAAAGATATTTGCTTTGTGATCTTCCTGAATGTAAAATTAACATAATTAGCAAATAATCTAATAAAAATTCGCTATTTTTGTTTAGAATATTTACCGAGCCATGTATTTAGAGTTTTATATATAAAAAAATATCCATTTGGTAATATATATGATGTAGCGTTAAAATTACATATTGCGTTACTTACGTTTAACTGAATCGGCCACTTCAGGGATTATCGGAGAATTGTCCATAATTTCAAAAGAAAAATTTAAAATAAATGTACGAACTACTGTAAGCTGCTGAATAATGTGATTTTATATTTGCCACCTCTGTTTATCCTATCTATGTCTGTTCATGCCTATTCAAAATAAACACAAAACCGTTAATACAAATTTGTAAACAAACGTGAAAAACATTAATCTGTTTTCTGCCAGAACTTATTTTTCGAACTAAGATAGTTATATATTACGTAATTATGAGATGATAAGAATTATAGAAATAAGATGAAGCTATACATTCGCAGTATAAAGTATACACAAGCTTGTCACATGTTATATTTATAGGGTTAGAGATAACACAATCGGGCTTCAAAACAGTGCATAAGATAATAGCATATAAGAGTTTTTTTATTTAATACTTAGTTATATCTATCGACTTCCAGGAAAAAAATTTAATTTGTATCTTTATTACAAGAAATAATATTTGAAAAAATAATCCAAAATATGTATATAAAAAAACTCATTTTTTCTCTTTTATTGTGTCACAATTGAATTCTAATCTGACCGATTGTCGATGTCTAAATATACAATATCACTATATGATAGAAAATTTTTGCAAACTAAAAAATCAATAATCTTCGAGATACGTATGCTACCAGTGCTACATAGGAGTGAGTAACTAACACATAAGCCAACTAAATAACATTTCATATTATTGAAAATTTACATATATACATAGATACAAACATACATATTTATTTTAGTCCTAAAATTAAGGTTTACTATTCATAAATAATCATATAATTTAATGTCAGATTTCGAAAACAAACTTTTCTTTCCAAAATACAATTTAAATAAAATAAAATATTGACCAAGCATGAAAATTACACTCTAAGCAAACTGCACATTTGACAAAGTGTAAATAATTTGGTTTGTGAAATTATCTTATCAAAATTCTATTGTCAAAATGTTACAAGTATAAATGAATTCATATAGAACTATATAAATCTACTTGCACTAGTTAAAATTATTATTATCTATGATATTCCCATTGTTCCCAATACTGTGAAGTTTGCATCTCAGCCAAACGTGATACGGTGCGCTCGAATGCAAAGAGTTCTTCTTCACCAGTAAAGATATTTGCTTTGTGATCTTCCTGAATGTAAAATTAACATAATTAGCAAATAATCTAATAAAAATTCGCTATTTTTGTTTAGAATATTTACCGAGCCATGTGATATCTTCAAGTCGTCCATCAACATTCTTTTCTCGTCAGTATATTCGGACTCACTTTCTGGTAAAAATAATTGTGTATGTGGTACAGCCGCCGACATAACTACCCGTACCTGCAAGTTATTACAAACTTCTGTTAGTTTCGTATTAATCTATTAAGGCGGCTAATAATGTCGTTTATCTTCTCTAATATTAATCACATAGTTAAATGTGTCTCAAACTGCCAGATCAAATCAAATATCAAGAGTTGTAATTTGTACATAGAAATGTTCTTTACCCTATTATCATACAGTGTATCAATAAGAGTAATAAATCGCCTGGCTTGAGACTTAAGTCGTAGATTCAATTGGGGTATATCTCTTATTATGATTGTATGAAACACTTGACTCAATTCCAAATAATCACTTGCTCCAAGAGGCTGTGCAGAGATAATAGCCGTATTATACAACTTTCATCTATAATACATTTCGTCTAGCATACAATTAGCTTTATGAGCAAAAAATATCCATCTCACTCTATCACACAATTCTTCAAATGTGGAATCCAACACCTGCCCGCAGGTTTTCTGGAAAGTGACATTTCGTCCTCTTATGCAAATTGTTCGTGGTCGTATAACATCGTTCTCCATAGAGCATAAATATTTGAAAACTTTGTCCACATCATTTGTCGCATCCTTGCCTTTTCTTTTAATTTACACGGCTCGTTAAATATGGTGAAGATATATATAGATATATATATATAGACGATTATTATACAATGACAATTTAATGATTTTCACATACATGAAGTATAGTTTTTTGTTTCCAGGCCCTGATTTCAATCTGTAATCTATTCCAGAATCCAAGTTGCTAATGTAACAATGATCCTTCAGCACTTTTATAAATGGCACAAAGTTTCCCCGTTGTAGTCCATTCTTGTATAAATCATCGGGCGATCTGTTACTAGTCGCGACTACTATAATGCCATTATCAAAAAGTTCTGTGAATAGCCGTTTCAATATCATAGCGTCCGCGATATCCGTCACCTGCAATATAATTGCTTTTATTGATGTATTTCACAATTGGTGCTTCTTTTCTTGAAAATGACATGTGAATATCAACCTGAAATTCATCAAAGCATAATAGCCAAGTCTCTTCAGCGATACTGGATGCAATTGGAGGTATTGGATCAAAAGGTTGCGGTTTGGTACTTGTAGTATCTCGTACAATCGTCTTTTTCACTTTATGCACTCTACTATGTACATCCAACATGAAGGAATGAAAATGAACTCTTTTCTTGTTCTCAATCTGAAATAAAATGTTTTTCTTTAGATAAATTATATTAACATTACAAAATATTACACTTTTGTTCCATACTGCACATGGAAAGCCATGATTTCCTCCATTTATTTATATAATTATTATATAATTATATATATTATATAATTGAATATATTATATACAACTACACACATTTAATTATTTATTACATATTGCATATTATATAATTTTTTTGTATCTCTTTATTTATTTCAATTTTTTAAACTGTTTAAAATTCTTCCTGTGATATTTTATTTTGATATCTATTTGCTATATCTATTTATCTACAACTGTTATATTCTTTCTTTTTCAATTTTATTTACAGATATATTCTATATGAAAAAAAAAAATTTATTATTATCAAATGATTAAGACATTTTATCTTAGCTTCTCATGCGCAATACTTGTGGAAATAGCAATCCGAGAGATACCTGGCAACAATTGTAAAATAGATCCATCAACATTGTTTTACCTCCACCCACTGCTCCATGAATGTACAATCCTTTCGGCACATCTTTCCTTTTTCCACCAAACCATTTTTCCAATAAATTTAATTGTTGTGGCTTGTAATTGTGTACCTCTTGATAAATTCTCTGCAGAATCTTTACTACTTTCATCTGATGTGTGTCGTTCATCAACTCGCCTCTCGTTATTTTTTGCTTCAAAATACTAACTGGTCCATCACTTAAATTTATATCTATATTGTGAGCGTAGCCACATTTTTGGATACAAAATACTGGTTGAACACGAGTCAGCATATGGGAGAAATAATTCACGCTAATACACCTCTTTACAAGATAGTAAGTCATGACTGCAGAATATTACCTGGAAAGCAAAAGCCCATCTTTATTAAAAATTATGATTTATCTATCACATTTATGATCTAAGATTGATCGTTTAATAGCAAAAATCGAATTAGAACAGTCATCGATTAAAGAGATTAACGTATAAACAATCATTAACATTATCTGACGTGCCATTAATGGAACATAGATACGATAACCTTGACACTAGATATTTGACATGATGTATATTCCAAATTTAACTCACTCACGTGGAAAACTAGAAAGGTGTGTCTCGATTTTATGACAAGGATCGTGTGACAAGATTTTATTATAATTCACAAGATACATGTACAGAAAAAAAAAAGACCGTTGCACTTGTCAATCCAAATATATGTGTGGATGTCGCGTACACCTATCTCACCTATGGTGAGATAGGTGAGGACGTACGTTTTGAAAGATCGTTTGCCGCGCGGCGTCATATGACGAAAAGGGTTTCAAGAAGTTACCACAAAATAACTAGATATGCTCTAATCGCAATCTTGTTAATCCATTGCCAGCTAAGCGCGAGAAAGTTTTTACTTTTTCTCAAATCAAATTGCAATTATTTTAATCTCATCTTTTGCACGAATATGTTTTATTCTGTTAAAAAGTTTTTACAGACTCACACAAGATATGAATAAATTTAAGAAAAAAAGGGAGGAATAGCATACATAATAGAATATATAAGAAATAATTTTTTTGGATATAGTTGACATAAAATAATTTAATAACAAACGCACTTTCACATATTGGATAGATTATATACATTTATTATGTTACATTATAAAATAATTGTGCATATAACATGATATTTTTACAATATAGATGAAAAATATTATGAATCTAATATATTTTTATCTATGCTGTTCACAGTCATTTTTCAGCACATCTGGCAAAATGCTTCCATGGGAAGATTAGGAATGTGGATAAGAAGTGCGAGATCAACAGCCTTGCAATACTTAATCCAGGCAATCCTACAATCTCTCATGTCACAAGAACTAATTATTCTATGTAACATGGAATAAAAATATTTTCCTCGAGATATTATATTCTTTCCATATTTAGTCATTATGATAAAACTTTGGATACAGCGAGGAAGTATAGAGTGGCGGCCTTCGTTTGTCAGGACTAATTGCTTCTCTGGAGGAATAGTAACGTCTTTCAATAACTTTATCAAAGAATCTGCTAAGTTTCACAGATGAACTGGAGCCTGCTGCTAAAGATCTTATCTGGCGACAGTCCTGTTAAAATAAATGAGTCAAGCATGTTCAGTGAGTTTATCAAGTGAATAATATTTACCAAAAATATTTCATCGGCACCACATTCTTCTGCAATGGTTGCAGAACGTCTGTGTACATTGGGTTTTACAAAATTGGATTCTGAGATTAAATCAAACTTTGTACCAACAACTAAGATTGGAATCTAGATTAATAAATGTTGTCTATATATTTATCATAAACACACGCACAATTAATTATATATAATTAGCAATTTGAAAAGTTTTTATCACCTGTGTTGAGCCTACAAATTTCTCAGGATCAAAGTCCTCAAATGACTTGGACTTTAATGAGGTCCCATCTTTACTTAAGACTTCCTCTAGCCATTTCTGAAGATTCTGCTGTGATTTACGATTTGTTAAATCGTGTACTAATATTATGCCTAGTTGTAAATGACATATATTTGCAATCATGTCACAATTATGTGTTTAAATTAGATATAACATAATATTTAACTGCTATAAAATATGTATGTACCATTTGTGGGATTATAAAATACAGATCTTGTGTTTTTGTGATTTTGGCTGCCACCGATATCCCATAGTTCGATAAAGTATCTTCTCTGATTGGGTGTTCCTTCTTTGTATTCGTGTAGTTTTACTTCCACTGAACAACCTACAGTCCAGGAAGGATTGCCAATAGGTTGCTGTTGGCATATTAAATGTGTCAATGATGTTTTACCAACACCTGCAATAATGCAAACATCATTAATCAAATCATATATTCTTTCATAAAAATAACATCAATGACAACTAATGTTTATAATGCAATATAATATAACAGTTATATATAACCTAAACACTTTAAAATTATAATTTTGATATATTAATTAGTATGCAATATCAATAACAAGAGATTTTTATTATAATAATTAGCGCAAAGTTTGTGTCATTTTTTATTAAAATAAAGTATTATATTTACAAATATCGAAAATGTTCTGACAAAAAATAATAAAGTATAATATTACATATTTTTCTTATATTTACCTGAATCGCCTACCACAATAATTTTAACTTTGTCAATCGCTGCCATTAATAAATCGTATTAAATTATATATATTTCACGAATTACACTTGCGATAATTTTGACATTTGACAGATGGTTATTTGACAATTTGTGTCATTTTTTTCTAAAATGGATCCATGAAGGAAGCGTAAGGAGAGTTATCTACCTAGATTGAAAGTGGTCACGAAAAATGTTCCGTATGTGGCCAGGTTTGCCGAATGGAATAACTTGGACCATTTCGTCGCCATCTTGAATCTTCGTATATATATAGTGTTTTTCTATCGGGAAACAAAGGCAGTCCCCTTCCATTTATATATGTTTTAAGGTTCCATGTCAATACCTAGTATATTTTACAAGTTTTTTTAAATTAAAAATGTCACAAAAATATTATTTCCTTTTTTTTCATTGAATATGATTTTATCTCTTTGTATTCTAAACTATATAATATTTAAAGAACATTTACAATGTTATTTTTTTATATAATTCATTAATATTTTTATCATACCTCCTAAACATTCAGGATGTTTTTTCCAATAATGAGCAGATAATGCAGGACGCTTATATGTTTCATCTCGATTCGTTGCAACTATCAATCCATAAGATTTAATAGCAGCATTGGGATTGCGATAGATAAACAAGATGCGCATGACAATTATTTTTGTAATTAACCGACTTGAAGTTGACACACAATATAACTTTTTAGTCGCAATTGGGGTGAAAACATTTAAAGAGCCTTTTATAGTCAAGATTATATGTATTTTGTGCTTTTTTATTTTGTGATACTGATAACATTATCAGATACCTCGTTCATAAATCAAGATAATGTTATAATTGTTGCATATATATTGTTATTATGTTCCATTGTCATCAAAATTCTTTATTCATTTATCGTATGAAATGTGATGCAAGTGCAGCCATTTATATGTGGGCAAAATATCTGTCATACTGGGTGCCGCAGAATTCGACTTGTCGTTTCTCGATATAAAAGCCTATCAAATAGATTTGCATAATCGCAACACATGCATAAGAAAATTGGTTAGTCTATTTCTTTATGCATTTGCTTATGGACCAATCAATTTCTTTATGCATTTATGCGACTGCAAATCTATCTGGATAGGGCCTAAAATGTGATAGTAAACGTACAATATAAAGATAAAACAATGAAAAATATCAGGTGTATATTTTACTATTCTCTTATAATATTTTTATATAAAAATAAAAAATTACGCGTTATTGATGTTATATATATTTCTTTTTTTTACTTAACCTATATATTTTATCCATATAAAAATGGCTACTCTTGTATAACCAGAGGGAAGCCTGAGAGAGGCAATGTCGGCGATTTTCGTGAACTCTAGTTACCCCGCGTCACCTCGCTTCGCCGTCGTTGAACATTCCTCTCCCCATCCGCGTTTGTCTCTTAATAAACCGCTAAATTCAAATTCATGTTCAAAACATAAATATTTCAAATTAAAAAGAACAGTAATATGATTTTAAGAATAATGAAAAAAATTTGAAAATAGTTTTTAATAATTAATTACCAAAAGATTTAAAAAACTTTCAGTCATTAAAATTGTGCTACTTACCAAGTTCTTTCTGAATATTATAGATTTTCTCGGCCAGCAAATTGTAATATTCCGACCGCGAGTTAGCCATTTCATACATATCGCCTTCCACTTTTCTCGCATATGTGACTAAATCGTGCATTCTTTTATCGAGCATAGCTTGAGGATCAGGAGTTTGAAATATTGCTTGGACCCTGAGAAAATAAACAACGATTGTGTTATTATTTACTAGGAGAAAAACTGCAAACAAACATATGTATTATGTAATAAAGCTCTTACTAACAGTTTACGAACGAGATGATTCCTGAGATCTGGAGTGACAAACATATGCCATTCCTTTGTTCCTTGCATTGGTGTCGCTGTGACTTGACCAGACTGAAGACCACCTGGAAGCTGCAAATTAGCTAAACTATTCTCTCCGCCGATTACGCCGATTTGTCCGGACTCGTTTAGTCCCAACAATGTTTGCAGCATGTTGTTGGACTGCTGTATATTGGCAGCGGCCGCCACCGCGGCGGACGTGGATCCGGTGGTCGGTACTTGGCCGGGTAAGAGTCCCGGTGTTGTCGTCGGACATTGAATCTGTAAAGCATCAAAAGCCCTTCTCATCTCGGATAGACTCGGATTTGGCAGATTATTTGGTTGAAATGCAGGAGCTAATAAAAAAATATATAATACAGATAAGTAAAGAATTATCGCGCACGAAATGTCATCTTTATAAACAAAATTTTTCTAAATTACCTTGCGCAGAATTAGATCTGTTGTTACACGCTTGTTTTACCGGCGAACAAACTGGACAATCACTTCGATTACAATGTTTCCAATGATTGATAATCTGCCTGGACATACTACAGTCTGGCACAGTGCAATTCTTGCCAGCTTGACAACTCTTCATGTGATTCAAGACGTTTTTCCTCATCTTACATTCCGAAATGGTACACTGTCTCATCTCACCATTCGCTACACTTTCGCGGCGTAGGCATTTATGCGCATGTATAATTAGCACCAATTGCTGTTGAATAAGTTTACATTTTTCAAGATCGAGTGTCGATCTTGCTGTCCCTAAAGATAACAGATAGAAGAGATCTTGATAAGTATACCAAGTTTATTTTGCAATGTTACTAGAAATAGTATTGGTAAACCTTCGGAAAACCCACCTATATGAAATAATGGGTAAGGGCAACCGCACAAGCTCTTCCGTAACGCATTACGTTACGTTAAGTACTAACCGTAAACTTAGATTCGTCCGTAACCTTAAACTTCAGTCAACGCACAGAGAAAAACGTAACGTAGTATGCTTTTGTTACGTTACGTTTTTCTCTGTGCGTTGACTGAAGTTTAAGGTTACGGACGAATCTAAGTTTACGGTTAGTACTTAACGTAACGTAACGCGTTACGGAAGAACTTGTGCGGTGGCCCTAAGAATACCCAATTCTTATGTATTTTTGCCTCCTGAACACGAATATGAAACTTAAAAATGGCGGTCGAACTCGTAAATCAAAGAGAAACGCAAAAATCCAACCAAACGTGAAAATCCAACCCATGTCCGAGGGATGCATTTTTATTAGTAATAATTCACTCCTGGGATATAGGTTTGGGTTAGGTTATATCTTCCGGAAGTGGAGCCCCCACCGTAGGGGGGTGGGGCGGAACCCACTGTGTCCACGCATACACTTTCCCATCCATACAATAATTGTTGGATGGACTTCGCTTCGCGTTGTAAAATATATGCGTGGACACAGTGGGTTCTGCCCCCCCTACGGGGGGGGGCTCCACTTCCGGAAGATATAACCTAACCCAAACCTATATCCTAGGGG